AGGTGAAGTTGGGTGTGGAGGGAGTACGTAGGAGTGATGGTAATAATTACTGATTACAAATGATAAGAGCGGATAAGAAGCAATAGTAAGCAAGAATCAGTGAGTCCGGGTCTTCCTTTGTGTGAACAGAGGGACCTTGGCAGTTTGAAAATGGAGGGACAATCATTCTCAAAGGGGGTGGGGGAGGCTGATTCTAGGCGTTAGAACTCCTTTTTTTGAAGGAGCTGTCTGAAACTTAGAAAAGAAGAAATAGAGACTATCACACTAGAATACGTGATGAAATCTAAGGTCAGTTCGATACCTGCAGCTCACCTTCATCTGTCATTTCTTTTTTTGGATAGCACTAGTTACCTTTTAATCTTTTTGACACCTCCTATTTACTACATGACTGCTTGTCGACGTCTAAAGAGCGCCCGGTTTTCTATTGTTTGGTGACTCACTGATAACAGTTGCTACTGCGTCGATAACGGCTTTCGTTCTATACATATGAACCACGTCCCAGGCCTAATAACTTTCGTAGATTCCTCTTTTTCTGATTTTGATTGAATACAGCAGGAACAGCTAATCATTGTATATGAGGAATAGAGATTGGGTTTATAATTAGTCCGTCATTGGGGAAAAAAGTCTGAAGGTTCTGTAAGAGCAGGAAAGTAGGTATTACGGGTTTGTAGACGAACTCTAAAATGTACGCTGTAGTGCTTCAAAGGTATAGCATACGTATCGGATCGCTCCGCCCAAGTGGTGGTACGAGATAAGCACGAAAAATAGGGTGTCTCAACAAGTTCCTACTTGTTCACATCCCATCACCTTCAACAATATTACCTGTTTTTCCTCGTTAGCAGTATTAGTACTGTTGCAGTTATCGTCCAAACGAGTCTGTTTTGGGGCGGGGCGGACCCCTCCGGTGTAGCTCCGCGTTCAAAACAAACACATTTGTACCGGAACTGCAGCAGCACTACCTACTCTTCCTACTACATTACCTGGACTTGGCAAGCCATCAGCTCTTTCGCCACGAAGGTGCCGTAGATTGGTTCCTCATTCTGAGCCTTACTTACTCTTTGCTCTCAGCTAAAAGAAGTAAGAGCTTCTCTCTGTTCACGAGACATACCAGTGATTCCTCTGTAATAGGCATGCCGGTAAAGATTGACTGTATTATAGCTATAACCAGTCGGATCGCCCGGCTAACGCCAGGCTCTCCTCCTTCTTGTGTCAAACACCCTATCCCGAGAAAAGTTGAACTGAAGAATTTTTTCCCTTTTTCAGAGTTCATAGTTTTTGAGTTTTTTTCCCGCTGTTTAGCTGACTTTGAGTTTTTTCCTGCTGTTTAGCTGATTGAGAGTATGAA